GGTGCACATTGCTCACACAAGCACCTGCCTCAGTGAATGGAAATTTGAATGTTTTATTTTTGTGCAAGAAATACAAGGTAGAAATAGAAAACGTTCTTGCAAATTTGGCCTGTTTTTTGTCCATTTTGTCTCATTTTTGAGAAATGAGTCTCCTAACAGATCCATATTCTGCTTTATTTCAACACTTACGCCATTGGAGAAAAAGTGGAAGTATTTGTTATTATATTTCCTCTTAGTATTCAAAATACACCCTCAGTAGCACCTCGAATTATCCTGTCCATTCTGTCAGTGTATTTTCCATTGTGGGAATATGGGGTGCTTATTATTGCTTGAAATTTACAAGCAGGTATACAAAAAAGCTGAATCATACCCCCCACACTCCCCCTTCCACCTCCCCAGAATGTCTTCTTTTATTTAAAAACAAAAGCAGAGGAACTTACATACATTTTATACATCAGGTAAAACATTCTGATATCTGATATTTCAGTCACTTGTGATTCTGTTTATTGTACTACTTTTCTTTTTAAAGTTCTTTTTATGACACTTATATAGGACATTCTATGTGTATTTTGACATAGGGGTTCTGTGTATATCTAAGCTGGCATTATACTCAGTATGTAAGCAGACTGGCAGGCAGTTATGCATGTGCCTGTCTCAATGGGTCTCCCAAGTGCTAGAATGCAGGCATGTGACCCATCTCTCAGCTCTAGTCCTCCTGTTACATGACTTATACTCTAAGAATACACTTTTATAAAATACCACCTACAAGAAACGGTGTGCTGGTTGCTTTTTTATGTTTGTTTTTGACAACTTGACCTAAGCTAGAATTAGCTAGAAAAAGGGAACCTCAACTGAGAAAATGCCTCCATCAGACTGACCTGCAGGCAAGTCTATAGGACATTTTCTTGATTAATGATTGATGTGGAAGAGCCCCGCCCACTACAGGTGGTGCCACCCTATGCAGGTGGTCCTTAGTTACATAAAAAAGCCAACTGAGTGAGCTGAAAGCAAGCCACTAGGCATGTTTCTCCTTAGTCTCTGCTCCAGTTCCTGCCTCCAGGTTCCTTCCCTGCTTGAGTTCCTGCCTTGGCTTTCATCTATGATGGGCTGTAATCAGGATGTGTAAGCCAAATAAATCTTTTCTTCCCCAAGTTGATTTAATCATGGTCTTTATCACAGTAATAGAAAGCAGACTAGAACACAAGGCTTGGCAGAGTTATTCATGACTGTCAGCTTTGTGCCTGAAGAGCTGAGAAGGCCGACTTGCAGAATAATGAATGGCATTGTTCCTACTTTTCAGAGCCATCTAAAACCAGTAATTTAGACAAGCAAATTATTAAAGGAACAAAGATCCTGCGCAAGTCAAACTCTGCCTTGAAGAAACGTGTGCCCAAAGGTAAAGAAGTCGCTGGCATACAGATGTGTAAAACAGAATTCTGTTCTTTCTTCGCTGTTTCTACCAGCCTTAAATTTATACAAATCTAGGGGCCCAGGGGAGACACTACCAATGGCGTGGGAATGAGTCCAGTTGCTTGGAGGTCTTTAATTCAGTTCATTTACTCCTCAGTCACTAGTTCAACTCTCTCGGATCTCTCTTTATTTCCTTAGTTCCCTTCTTCTTGTTCCCTCAATTCTTAATTCCCTCTATTCTTCAATTCCTCAATTCCTCAATCCTTCAATCTTCAGTCCCTAGTTCCCTCAATTCTCTGTTCCCTCAATTCCTAGTTCTCTCCAATCCTAATTCTCTCCCATCTTCTAGCCCCTGCTAGAGGCTTCCTGGCAATTTTATTTGCAATCCAAAAAAGGAGAGATAAAAGTGGGGTCAGTTAGTAGTTGGGATAAATCTGAAAAGGAATTTATGTGCTAGAAATATATCCTTATTGTGGTTAGGTGAAGGCATTACGACTCTATCAGCTATAGACTTACAGGTGATAGGGTAGGGAAAGTCTGTAGGTTACTAAAAGTTAAAACTGTCACTTTTTTCCTCTGCCGCCAGTTTCCTGACAGGGCGGGGGAAGAGCACTGATAGCTAGTCAATCTGCATCACAGCTTGAAACACCTGTCGCGGGGAACTCCTTTTGATCTAAGGGTTCTCTGGGGCAGTGAGAGAGACCGGGAGGCCTTGATTTGCACAAGAAACAAAGCTTGTTCCTCTAGTTGGTGGGCATTTGGCCTGTGAGACACGTAGTCTCAGAAAAGACATTTTATCTAAGTTGGGGGGTTTTCAGGGTCTAACCGATGGCCTGGTAGCTGTCTGTTCCTTGCTTGTCTTTTAAGGCTTTGTTTGGGGGTGACTCTATCTTAGGAAGTAGCTCAAGGAGGGTATCAGCAATTGGCAAATACCCCAAAACAAATGCTAAAGAGGGACCCTGGAGCTCAGAAGCTGAAGGTTTTGTCTATGTGACTATCCAGGGGCTTTGAAACGGAGATTCACACACATACACATTTTAGGAGAATTATGAGCACAAGGAATTCATAGCAAGACACAATTGAATATTAAACCGCATAACACCAATCGACCTTGCGGATTGGCTTTCCCCTCGACTAACCCTTGGCCCCGTCAAGGTATAGCTTATAATATACAGCTGGACTTCTATTTCATACTCCTGTGGCTCGCCACAACAGTAATAGAAAGCAGACTAGAACACAAGGCTTGGCAGAGCTATCCATGACTGTCAGCTTTGTGCCTGAAGAGCTGAGAAGGCCGACTTGCAGAATAATGAATGGCATTGTTCTCACTTTCCAGAGCCATCTAAAACCAGTAATTTAGACAAGCAAAGTATTAAAGGAACAAATACCCTGCGCAAGTCAAACTCTGCCCTGAAGAAACATGTGCCCAAAGGTAAAGAAGTCACTGGCATACAGATGTGTAAAACAGAACTCTGTTCTTTCCTCACTGTTTCTATTTTCCAATAATCTCAACCTCTGGGCCCTTCCAACACACAGGTAATGTTAGGAAAACAAGGTGTGTTCCAGTATTTTTCCTGTAAATAGACAGGAAAAATATGTGGAGGGCTTTGTTGTGCTGCACAATAATATGCTTCTATGCATAGATTTCCCCCTTGCCTCTAACCCAGGTAAACTGATGGGTTTCCTTCATCCCTCTCCCTCTTAATATTCTGCGTGATGTTCTGAAATGGGAATGTTTGAGATTTCTTCGCTAGTTTAAGTCACCTTTATATTTCTGTGGTCATGACTAAAGTCAATGGTGCAGTCGACAGCATTACACATTTTATTTTCTTCTTCCACTTTACAGCTATACAGTAGCATGTGTGAGTGGGGTGGTTAAATTCAAGACATGTCTGCTCTCGACTCCATAGCTACTGGATAGAATATGTATGTATCTATTCTAGAATGATTGTAATGTTTAGTTATGGCAGGGACTGCATGAGAAAACGGTTTCCTAGTTCTTAGCACTAAAGTTTTTAGGAATTGAAACATTTAAAAGATTAAATTATATTAGTCAGTGGACAAAAGCACCTTCCAGACTTTGGGGGGAAAAAATCCCTAGCACCTCAACAATATGTGGTAGAACTAGAAAATTCCATGAACACACAGCAGCTATGGATACGAGCCAGAATTGGTCCTTTCAATCTTCTAGCAAGAATGGAGGACTTGTCAATGAGCACCTGCCCACTCTGAGGACCCAGTGACTATCAATGCATAGGGGGGAGGTTGCATCATTTTTTTCATATTGCTGTATCCACTGTGGGACTACATGAGAACACTCATGGGAAACATCAACCCCAACCACAAGGAGGTAACACTTCGTGCCCATCGTACGGTTGCTAGAGAGAAAAGAAGAAAGGAAAGCAGAAAGTGGAAGAAAGAAAACTATTGATGTTTCCAAGTGCATGGAAAAGAAAAGAGCAGTCCTGTGGGTGCAGCCTGTAATCCCAGTGCCTTGGGAGGCTGATGCAAGGGAACGGCACATTCACATCTATCCTGAGCGGCATGATGAGACCATATCTCAAAGTTGTCAGAAGCAAGAGGTGGGATTAATGTAGTTCAAGGGTGGAGTACTTGCCTCACGTACAAAATGCCCAGGTTCAGTTCTCTGTACTTGAAACAAACAGAAAAGGAGAATAAATTTTGGTAAGGATGTCAAGAAATCATAAACAGGAAGTGGGGAGGGGTTCAAGTTGGTTCAGCGGGTAAATTAGACCTGACACACGCATTCCATCCCCACAACACACGCTAGAAACAGAGAACCTACCGGTTCCAGTTGTCCTTTGACTCCACAGTCGCAAATGAATCCATTGTAATTTAATGTTTTCAGAGAGAAAAAGAAATTGGGACATGGTGTCACCTAAGCTGCAGTAGGCTTAACCAGCCTCCCCCTACAGGATCTTGTTAGGTACCAGAAAGCTGGCATCAGATTCACTATGCTGGCCAGAGACTCTCCAGATTCCCATCACCCTCATGCTTTAGTCTCAGAAGTGTTGGTGTGTATTAACACAATCTCTTCTTCAGCATCACAGACTTACACTTGTGTGTGTGTGTGTGCGTGTGTGTAGCCCTGGCTGTCCTGAATCTCACTCTGTAGACCAGACTGGCCTTGAACTCACAGAGATCCACCTGCCTCTGCCCCCCGAGTGCAGGGAGTAAAGGTGTACACCGCCACTGCCTGGCTGACTTACGCTCTTACGTTGACATACTATATCCACTGTGAGGAAAGGAAAGCACATACGGAATGTATTTATGCTGGTGAAGTCACTTTGTCTGACTAACTGAAGAGGGCCATAAGGGGCTCTGCTTTAGAAAGAGTGAGGTAATTTTTAACTTTTTAAGAATTAAAATGAATTTATTTCAAGCTAGCATGGTAGGGTACTGCATTAATCCCAGCACCCAGTGCAGAGGTGTCAATCTCGGTGAGTTGGAGGCCAGCCTGGTCTACCAAGTGAGTTCAAGGTATGCCAAGGCTAGATAAAAAGACCGTCTCAATGAAATAAAATTAGTTTGTTTCTACTATCCTTGAGTGGCATTGTTCTTGTGTTTCCAGGGCAGCCTAAACCTACAACATTAGACAAGAAAGGTGTTGGCCTTCCAAATAATCTGGTTTCTTCAACATCTGCCTCCAGTAAGCACAGGTTTAAAGGTAAGGAGTCACTGGAATGCAGACCTGTGAAGTGACACTGTGCTCCAGCTCCACTGTTTCTGTTCACCAGTACACTCAAGCTGTGGGCCCTTCCAACAAGCAGCCAGCATAACAAGCACAGCAGGTGTTCCGTGGTTTCTGCATAAATAGATAGGTGTGTGGCGGGCTTTGTGGCTCTGTACAATAAAGGATCCTGTGCACGGGCCTCCCTTACCATTCACCTAAGTAAGCTGATACATTTCCTTCGCCTCTCACAGCTTTCCTGTTCTGCATGATGATCTGAAAAAGAGATGTCATGACTTATTCAACATCTCACTTATTGAGAGACCTTGGGATTTTATTGTTACAACCACCATCGGTGGAGCTACAGTGTCATTGTACACTTTTTATTATGTTCTTTATGCTTCTATGAAACACAGAGGAGCTGGGCTGGGCATAGAGCTCTGTCAGTCAAGGGCTTGTGGTGCAGCCTCAGGACCCGAGCTAGGATGCCCAGCACCACATAAAGAGCCACACACAGCACCCACACTCCTGTAACCCCAGCCCTGGGGAGGCAGAGACAGGTGGGTCCCTAGGGGTTGTTGACTAGCAAGTCTAGCCAAATTGGTGAGCTCAGGGTTTGGTGAGAGATCCTTCCCCAAAACCAAGGTGGAGGGCTGGAAAGATGGCTCACTGATTTTGCACCTTTGCTGTACTTCCACTTGTAAATTCCATTCCCAGCACCCATTACAGACAGCTCCCAACTGCTCTTAACTCCAGATCCAAGAGATGTGACACCCTCTTCTTACCTGGCAAAATGAGAGGGACCCAAACACAAGTGGCACACACACACACACACACACACACACACACACACACACACACTGCAAATGAATTAATAATTTTAAACTAGGTAGAGAATGATTGAGGAAGACACCTGCCATTAATCTTTGGCATATATGGGGGTGGGGGATGGGCAGGAGTAGAGAAGGAGGAGAGGGAGAAAGGAAAACAGGCCGTGTGACTGAGGAGATAGCTCAGTAAATGGTTTGTAATCCTAAAACTGGAGAGGTAGAGACAGGTGGATTCCTGGGACCCACTAACCAGTCTGCTCAGCCTAACCCATCAGTTCTGTGCCAGAAAGAAACCCCATCTCAAAAGAAACACAGTGACTAGCATCTGTGGGATGAAACTCAGTGTTCACTGCTCACCTCCATACATGCTCACACACATGACAGGGAAACCATACTGGAACACATATGCAGGCTAAAAACACCCACCATCACAGCATATCAGTCAGCTAACTATCCAGTTGATTAGAGTATATAAGTGATAAAGTAACTCTGCCAGTAAGTACATGAAAAAAAAAAATGACCTCTCCTTCTCTTAGCTGGCATTGGTCTTTTCATGGACTGAAATGCTAACAATGTCAAATTATGTGTTTGTTTGTTTGTTTGTTTGTTTGTTTGTGACAAGGTCTCACTACATAGCCATTGACTGGCCAAGAACTCACTGTGTAGACCAGACTGGCCTCAAACCCATAAAGATCTACCTGCCTATATCTCCCAAGTGCTAGGATCAAAGGCATGTGCCACTATGCCTGGTATGGAATTATATTTTAGGTGTCAAAACAATAGAATATGATCTAAAGAGTCTGAAAAGTCCCTGTGTGGATTTCAAAGACATTTTACAGAAATAGAAAAGTCCATTTTAAAATTCAGATGAAGTCGCCAAAGACTATGGTGGTCAAAATAATCTTGTCAAAGATCCAAGTAAGAAGAGTCATGCTTCATGATTTCAGAACTTACTCCCAAGCTACAGAAGTGAAAGCATTGTGGTCTTGGCATACAGCCAGACCAGTAAAACGAAGAGAGATCCCAGAATTAAACTCACATCTTTGGCCAACCACAGAGTGTGGAGAGAGCAGTCTATCAGAGACGGTGCTGGGTAAACTAGATCTCCTATGCAGAAGCATGGAGTGGGGGCCCTTATCTTAAATTATGTTCAAAACCCAATTCAAGATGAATCAAGAACCTATAAATAAGAGCTAAACCACAAAAGCACTGAAATAAAATGTAGGGAAAACCCTATACGATATTTAATTTGACAGTGTATTTTTGGACGGACATCAAAGATCTTTCTATATAACTAAGGATGGTCTTGAACATTCTACCTACACCTCCCAAGTGCTGGCATTACAGTAGCATATCACCACACTCTAGCTATGCTGTGCCAGGAATTCCTTCAGGGCTTCATAGATGCAAGGCTGAACCATACTTCAGCCCTCTATCTCTTTTTGCATTATATTTTCCATTGTTGGAATATCACCTTCCTTTCCCAAAATAAATGTATTTCCATGTACAGATTACTATACCTGAAAATTTACATTTTAGCTACTTATATTCATAAAAATAAACAATAAACTCATTGTTTATTGTCCTGATGTTTTGAACTTGTTTACTTTTTAAATCTTTTAAAAATATTCATTTTAAATGTGTATGAGTATTTTGCATGCATATATGTGTGTACATGCCTGATCCCTATGGAGATCAAAACAGGAAACTAGAGTAATAGATCATTGCAAGCCACGTGTGGGTGCTAAGAATCAAACCTGCGTGTAACACGAATCTTAAAAGGTCTTATTAATAAAATCAAACCTGGTGCCAGGTACTGGGGTCAATGCTGGAAGATCAGAGAAGCAGTACAAGCCATAGCCACCTCACTTTGCCAATTCCTTAGCTGATCTTGTTTCCTCTGACTGGAAGCCTCTGAGTCCTCATCCAGAATGAATCTCAGCTGAACTGCTGCTAAAAGCCTAAAAGCTTAACCAGCTCTAGTTCCTGGTTTTCACGCCTTATATACCTTTCTGCTTTCTGCCATCACTTCCTGGGATTAAAGGCATGAGTCACCATGCCTGGCTGTTTCCAGTGTGGTTTTGAACTCACAGAGATCCGGATGGATCTCTGCCTCCCAAGTGATAGGATTAAAGGTGTGAGTGCCACCGTTTTCTGGTCTCTATGTCTATCTAGTGGCTGTTCTGTCATTTGACCCCAGATAAGTTTATTAGGATGCACAATATATTGGGGGACACAATATATCACCACACCTGCGTGCTCTCAAAGACCAGCCAGTTTTCTTAACCACTAAGCCACTGCTCCAGGCTCGTATTTGTGTTTTGAGACATGGGTGCTGTGTTTAGGAAGGCTGGAATCATATTCCATATGTAGGAAGGCTAGCAGGCTGGTACCCATCTCCCTGTTTCCACCTCCCGACTGCTGGGACCAGGGGTGCACTGACACCATAGTGAACGTTCTTGGCGAGCACATCAACTCTCAGGCAAGGGTAGGTCATCAGAATTCATTTGTGCTGGTTACACTGCTTTTTACAGATTACTGAACTTTGGAAGGAAGCTGTGCTTTAGAAAGGATTGAAACTGAAGTCTTTAAAAATTGAAATTGCCGGGCGGTGGTGGCGCACGCCTTTAATCCCAGCACTCGGGAGGCAGAGCCAGGTGGATCTCTGTGAGTTCGAGGCCAGCCTGGGCTACCAAGTGAGTTCCAGGAAAGGCGCAAAGCTACACAGAGAAACCCTGTCTCGAAAAACCAAAAAAAAAAAAAATTGAAATTATTTAATTGCTGGTGTCATCCACTAATGTTCTCACTTTTCATGACAGGCTAAGTCTGAAAACTCAGATGAAAAGGATTTTAAACTCCCAAATAATCTGTGCCCTTCTGCCTCTACTACACGAAGCATCTCCTTAAAGGTAAAGAGATAACTAACATGCAGAAATCAACTCTGCTTTATCGTTTCTGTTGACCAGGATCTGCAGCGCGTGGGCCCTTCCGACAAAGAGCTGAGGCTATCAGCCCAGCATGTGTTCTCAGGCTTCTCCTCTAAGTAGACCCCGTGAGGAGGGCTCTGTAGTTGTATATAGTAAAAGGATCCTGTGCATAGGTCCTCCTTACCTTTAACTCAGGTAAATCAATTAGTTTTCCTTATTTATCATAGGCCTTAATTTTCTGTATGGTGTTCCAAAAAGAAACTATATTATGGCCTGTCCAAAAGTCCACTTGGTGAGCCCCCTTTACATTTCTGTTGCAACTACAATCATTGGATCAGTAGATAGCATTGTACATTTTTATTATGCTAGTTTATGTCTAGAAAGTGGAGGGTGTTGGAATTTTTTGGAGTTAAGGAAATACATTCTTTTAGTTTTCACAGATACTGCCATATACATTTTCAAATGATTGTAATTAATAGTTTTGATAACAAATGCTTGAAAAACTACTTCCCCTTTACTTAGACAGCACTCGACTCTTTTGGCATTTTTTTCATACAAAGTTATCCCATTTAGGGCTGAGTGCTCCAAAGACTCTCACTCTCTGCACATTGTCCAGTTGTGGGTCTCTGTTAATTACCATCTACTTCAAGAAGGCTGGGATGAGTGTTAGAGATGCACATGTTTATGTTTATTTCAGCTCAGAGTTCCACAGCACAGTCCATCACTGAGGGAAGTCAGGACAGGAACTCAAACAAGGCAAGAATCTGGAGGCATGGCTGCTACACAGGCTGTGGAGGAGGGCTGCTTACCGGCTTGCTCCTCATGGCTTTCTCAGCCTGCTTTCACCCAGGACCACCTGCCCAGGGGTGACATCACCCATAGTGATCTGGGTCCTCTCACATCAATCATCAATGAAGACTATATACCACAGGCTTGCCAACAGCCAATTTGTGGGGACCAGTGCCTAGGCGGATAGTAAGGGACTAGGGTAGGGGTAGATCTTTCAAGGAAGGGGATGTTTTAAAAAAGATAAAGGAGAAACCAGAATAGGAGGATTAAATGGAGAAGGGTGAGAGGGCAAGATAATGGAGAGAACATGGGAAGAGAAAACAAACATTAAAAGCCTTTCATAAAGCCACATGGCAACACAGTACTGTAGAAGCTTTCTAAAATATATACATGTATGGAAGTCATTTGAATGGCATTATCATGTGACAATGTCCCATCTAGACATCTTATGCTACCAAGTGAAACCCTCCAACACCAGGAGTGATATATATCTTATGGAGTCATTGTCCAAATCACAGGCTGTTGCCAAGGCTACTGGTTACCTTCCACACCCAGATAATAAGGCCTTATTGCTGAAGCTGCCATTTACTTACGTTATCCCACATGGAGAGAATATACTAGCACTCATCTAAAGGCCTTACCCCTTTAGATATAATGGTGCTAGAAAGTACTTTGCACTTTGCACATAACAGGAGGAGAAAAGGAAATCATTAATATCACCTGGCTATGAACCCTGTGGACCTGTCTATAAAATATATTGATGTTATGATGGCACAAATGTTATAGGAGCAACCAACCACCATTTTGATTAGATTTAAGGGCCACTCCATGGGAGGGAGCCTAAACCTGACTTTGCTAGGTAGTTTCATGTTAACTTGATATAAGCTAACATTATTTTGGAAGAAGGAACATTAATTGAGAAAATATCCCCTTCCTTGAAAGATCCACCCCTCCACTGGTCCTACTATCTACCTAACCTCTTTTTAAAGTTTTTTATTTTGATTTTTTTTTTTTGAGGCAAGGTCTCATTATATAACCTTGACTGGCCTTGAACTCATACAGACCAGGCTAACCTCAAAATCATAGAGATCTACTTGCCTCTGCCTCTTAAGTGCTAGAATTAAAAATATGTGCCACCACTTCTGGCTTTTTGTGTATTAATAGAGGTCTAAAATCCAGCCACTAAAAAATTCAAGTAAAAACAGTTCAAAGTACTCCCGTAGACATTCCTCCTAAGAATATACTACACAAATAGCCAGCACACACATGAATACGTGGTGTTGTCGTTTTGTTTCTGTTGCTTTGGTTAAAGTACACTAACCAAAGGCCATGTAGGGGACAAACATGTATTTGGCTTATGAGTCTAGGTTACAGGAAAGTCACAGTGGCAGCTCTCCATATTACGTCCTCAGTAAAAAGCAGAAAGAAATCGATGTATCATTGCTGCCTGCTTGCTCTCATCTACCTCTCTCCTGTCCTATATAGTTCAGGACCCTCTGCCTAGGGAATGGTGACACCCACCATGGGCTGAGTCAATTAACAATCAGTACAATCCCCTATGTATATGCCATAGGCCACTAAGCAATCCTCTATTGAGACTCTCTTCTCAGGTGATTCTGGATTGTAGCAAGTTGTAATTTGAAACCAACTCTCACACATGTTACATATCACTGTTTATTAGGAAAATTCAACCCCAAAATACAGTTAGATAACACATCATATCCATCAGACGGCTACTACATATTAAGGGGGAAGCAAAGGGAAAAATAATAATATGGACTTTTGGGTGCAAACCTGTGATTCCAGGAGGCTGAGGCAGGAATTATAAATTCTGTGGCAGCCTGAGCTATGGAGTGAGTTCAAGACTCCCTGTTGAAGTTAGTGAGATCCTGTTTAAAAGAAAAAGAGGCCTGGAAAGGGATGTTACTCAGTTGTGGGGCACTTGTCTAGCATAGGCAAGACTGCATTTAATCCCTAATACCAAAAGAAAGAAAGAATAAATGTTAGCAACGATGTCAAGAAATCCCTGTGGCTGCTGGGAGGAAGGTAAAATGGTACATAACGTCTGGAAAACACTGTGGCAGTTCCTCCAGTATTTAAGATAGAATTGTCATCTGATAAACAACTCACTTCTTGATGTGTATCCCAAATAAGTGAAATCAAGAGCACAAGTAGATGTTTGTGTAACCATGTCTATTTTAACGTCAGTCAGAACCCCAAGTGTCCCCTGGCAGGTGAATGACTAAATAAAATGCAGTGCTGTACATAGAGTGATACCTCCCTAGAGGACTCCTCAGCATGAAAAAGCCTCTAGCTGAAAGGGGTGCTTCTGCCGAAAAGCCTTTAGTTTCTGTCTCCTCATGCCTTATATACCTTTCTCTGCCCAGCCATCACTTCCTGGGATTAAAGGTGTGTGTGCTTCCCAGTACTGGGATTAAAGGTGTGTGCCACCACTGCCCGGCTCTGTTTTCTCTCCTAGACTGAGTCAATCTCATGTAGTCCAGGGTGACCTTGAACTCACAGAGATCTAGACAGATCTCTGCCTCCCAAGTTGCTAGGATTAAAGGTATGCTGCCATCACTGCCTGGCCTCTATGTTTAATCTAGTGGCTTGTTCTGTTCTCTGATCTTCAGGCAAATTTTATTAGGGTACACTGTGGTGGTATTATGTTCCCCAAAATATTGTATACCCTAATAAACTTATCTGGGGTCAGAGAACAGAACAGTCACTAGATACAGAGGCTAGAAAATGGTGGCACTCACACCTTTAATCCTAGCATTCCAGAGGCAGAAATCCATCTGGATCTCTATGAGTTCAAGGCCACATTGGAAACAGCCAGGCATGGTGACACACACCTTTAATCCCAAGAAGTGAGCCTTTAATCCCAGGAAGTGAGGGCAGAAAGCAGAAAGATATTTAAGGCATGAAAACCAGGAACTAAGTGATTAAGCTTTAGGCTTTTGAGCAGCAGTTCAGCTGAGATCCATTTGGATGAGGACCCAGAGGCTTCTAGTCTGAGGAAACAGGACCAGCTGAGGAATTGGCGAGGTGAGGTGGTTATGGCTTGTTCTGCTTCTCTGATCTTCCAGCGTTCACCCCAATAACTGGCCTCAGGTTTGATTTTATTTTTTTTTTTTTTTTTTTGGTTTTTCGAGACAGGGTTTCCCTGTGTAGCTTTGCGCCTTTCCTGGAACTCACTTGGTAGCCCAGACTGGCCTCGAACTCACAGAGATCCGCCTGGCTCTGCCTCCCGAGTGCTGGGATTAAAGGCGTGCGCCACCACCGCCCGGCAGGTTTGATTTTATTAATAAGACCTCTAAGAGTCCTGCTACAGTACACAATATATCACTACAGGCTTTGATTGCTGGACTTAAATACTTTGATAACTGAACCTTGATGGCCAGCCTCAGGAGGAAGAAGTGGCCAAATAAGGGAATAGACCTTGGTGGCTAGCGTTAGGAATGTAATCTAATGGTTTTTATCTAGGACAAGGCCTGCCAGAGCCACGTTTGCCATTCTCCGACTGGCTAGAGTCCCTTCATATTCTGTTTTCCCTGACACCAAATATAATAACAATGTTATGGAATACTGTAAAATTAGATGACTGAATACTTTTTCTTTAGCATTAAATACTATTCTGTGACAGTGGGCTGCACATCCAGACTTGAGAGAAAGAGTCCCAAGGGCAAGCATCAGGAAGCTATTCATGGACACAGTAAGGCAGAGTGACCTGGGAACTGATATGTGGGAGCCCTGTGAGTGGACAATGCTTATGGAACAGCAGTGCAGAAGACCCTTGATGACCAGGGTAGGACCAGATCATGAGAGTCCTTCAAAGGCAACAGGTGGGTTCCACTGTCTCCTTGTTATTTTTATTCTCCTAATTTTAAAAAGACTATAATTAATTTTAAACCACAAATAAAGAGCTAGGAATGAATGCAGCTTAGTGGTAAGAGACCTTGCCTGTCATGACAGGACCTTGCGATATTGAAAAGAATAATAATAACTTTAAGTCACAAGAAAGTCTGCACCCCATTCAAACCATTCATGTTTAAACATCGCACAGTCGACTGCTAGGGGTTTAAAACACATGACTTCTGTCAAGTTAATGCTTTGGAACATTAAAATGTTATTTTAGACACAGTATTACCACCCAGGGAGCGTAACTCCTGGGTGTGACTATGCCAAATCTAATCTGGACTCTCCCTGACGATGGTGTTAGACTTGCTGGCTCTTTTGAACCTCGAGAGCACCTATTTTTTTTCCCTCAGCAAGAAATAGAGTAATGGGGCCAGGTGGTAGTGGCGCACACCTTTAATCTCAGCACTCGGGAGGCAGTGGCAGGTGGATCTCTGTGAGTTCGAGGCCAGCCTGGTCTACAGAGCAAGACAGGCACCAAAACTACACAGAGAAACCCTGTCTCAAAAAACAAACAAGAAAAAAAATAAAGTAATGGATCACTCACTCAACAGTTAAGAGTCCCTGCTATTCTTGAAATAGGCCAGAGTTTGGTTCCCCATACCCATGTTGAGCAGTTCACAACCACTTGTAACTCTGTGTCTCGGGGATCCTACACATGTACACACACAGGCATAAACACAAGTTAAAGACAAAACAGAACAAAAAAGAATGGGAGTAACTATGATAATGTAATATGCTGCCATTGTTTTGTTCCATAAATCAATAAGGAATTGCATTTCTCCTGAAAAGATAAAAATGAAATCAAATGGTTGATGTAGTTCCTATACTTTGTGATTTTTTTAACTGTAAAAATATTGTTTACGTCTTATATATCTATGCAAACTAACCACTGACGTGATAAGAAAAGCTCATGAAGTTAGCCTCACTCAACTGTTTGTCAAGGTAGAGTCTATTCTTCTCTAGTGACTGATGATTCTCTAAAGCTGAAAAATCCAGGAAGCAACATGGTGCCAAGCTCTGTTGGTTCTTGTGAGGATGTCAGCGAGAATTAGGCAGGAATGAGTAGAACAGAGTCAACAAAACTAGTGTTGCAGGAAAGGGGAGGTTTCACTTTGTGGGTTTCTCTTTCCAATATAAGTTTTGGCTCAGCATGACAGCCAGCCTTCCTGGATGGCAGTTCTTGGGGTTCTCTAGACTAGATCAAGTCCACCTTTCCAGAGTGCTCCTGTGGACCGCCCAGATCACAGTGCCACCTGCACGTCAATCTGGCATTCAGAGGGCTGGGGAGAGAACTCAGTTGGCACTCAGAGAAATCAGAGTGATTGCCAAGTAGCTTTACCCACCAGCCCATTTGTTCTTTTCTCAGTACCTAAGAGAGTCCACAAGTTCTTCAAGGACACAGCACCCCTACTTTCCATAACAGGCTTGGCACATGAGAGGTCCCTGGTAAATAGTAAGCAATGTGTGAATAGAGTAGTTCCAGAAATCTAAGGCTCTCTGCCAGGAGAAATTCAGAAAACATACAACAACAACAAAAAAAATTCAACACTGAACTGTAAGCTCATAAAGGCAGATATTAACCCTCTTTGAAGAGTCTGGCAAAATGATGAATAAATATTAAAGTGAGCTGGCCAAGAGTTCTTCTAGTTGGGGGTATAGGACTATTAGGTTTAAAATGTATGTATAGCCAGGTATGAGGTCTCAGGCCTATAATCCTAGAATTTGAGAGACTAAGGCAGAAGGATCATAACAACAACCACTGGGTTACTTAATAATTCTCAGTCCCAAAGAAAACCCCAAAAGAGGAAGGGGCAGAAAGGAGAACAGGAGGGAAGAGTGAATTGGGGGGAAGTCTGTTATGCAGAGTTTGGCTTCCCAAGTATCAGAGAAGTTCATGCTGTGGTAGCAGAAGTTTTGATGTGTGTGTAGGGGCAGTTCATCTCAAGCCTATCCACAGAATAGCATCCGCCCAGGGTGCTTTCCAAAGCCTTGGTTCTTGGGGCTGCAGAGCTGGCTCAGTGATTAAGAACAATTGTTGTTGTTACAAGGGACCTGGGTTTGATTCTCAGCACCCACATGGAGGCTCACCTCCTCCTCGGTCACTAGGTATAGATGTGGTGCACAGACGTATGTGCAGGCAGGCAAAACACTCAAACATATAAATAATAAAAAATAAATCTACAAGAAAAAATATTTTAATTTAAAAACCTTGGTTCTCTATCCACATTCCCAGAACAGTTAAACCAGATTCTCTGTAGGTGACATTAACGGGCAGCCAGCGCAGGGCACTGTGAAGCCGCTAAGTCAGGAGAGTGCCTTAAGAACTCGAGCAAGCTCACAAGCAAACAGCCGCTCCACTTTGCTTTAGTCTAAGTTCTAGGGCTACTGGCAGAGGAGACTTAATGCTCTTCCTCTCCAGCCACCTTCTTTCAGAGTAATTATGAAAGAGTACCCCTCCACAACGCTCCAGTAGAATTGTGTGGAAATGTGTAGTATGTTACCCTCTAATGTAGAACAGATGAGCCATATGGGAGCCCTCGATGAGTAGCTACAGTGAGTGAAAGTTCCGAAGTTTAGTTCTATGGAAGTTTGTTTCATGGCCATAAGTAGCTAATGCTCTCATAACAGAGAGCACAGCTCACTAATTAGCAATAACTAAATAATTAGTTACATAGTTGCAGAAGCAACTTCCCTACCTGTTATTTGGAGAACAGTTCCCAAACGTCTTCTTGTCTAGATCAAGGAGAACTGGGGCAGCAGATACAGCTGGAATTTTTCAGTGGAATTTGTGCGGTGTGAACTTGGAACAGACACAGATGAGGAACGGACCAACAAATAAGGGACATTGATCCCTAGAGTCCGATGTAGTGAGAGCTTCGTGGACCGTTCCTCATCCATAAGGTGGCCTGATGCTCTGGAGTCTTTTTTACCGTTCAGAATGAACAGCGACTTTAAAATCTAAGGTATTCTGACAATAAAATGTAATTAGGTAGTTGGTATAAAATACGTTTGATCACCAATGCTGCAGAAAATGGAGAGTGTCAGAAGAGCTAGTGTGTGTCAGGAGTGGGAGTGATGACTGATTGCCGCTCTATTTTCAGAACCCCACTTCACTCTTTGGAACAGCCTGAACCTCCAAGACCACCCTCTTGTTGCTGATGTCCCAACTTGCTCTGCTGAGATAAGATCCCTACAGTACCTTCTGGTGTGGTGTAAACGCAATTAAACGACATTTGTGCTCTGGGTGTGTGAAATGGGTGATTCTTTAGGCGTAGTCTGATTTGCAAAGCTATTCTGTATGGTCCTGTAGAAGAAGAAAAAAAGCATACTTCGATACATCACTTCCACTGTTGAGCAGGGACATTTAATTTAGGAAATAGAAATATGTTGCTTTAATGTTTTTAACATTGAAATCATCAATTCAGGCTGAAGAGATAGTTCAGTCAGTAAAGGCTTTGCCGTGTGAACATGAGGACTTGACTTCAATCCCCAGAACGCACGGAAAAAATGCCAGGCATGGGAGTGAATGATTGTAAGCCCAGCACTAGGGGGGCGGGGAAAGTGTCTGAAGGTCCCAGCCAGCCGTGCTGGCCTAACTGGTAAACCTCAGGCCAATAAGAAACCCCATGTCAAAGGAAGGGACACCCAAGGTCCTCTGGCCTCCGATGCACATATGTGGGTATGTGCCTTAGCTCACATGAACATGAGACATAAACACACATACACATAGATTTTTTTTTTTTTTTAAAGAAAGCACAGAGGGCTGGTGAGATGCCTCAGGAATAAAGGCACTTGCTGCCTAAGCCTGGAGACCTGAGTTCAATCCTCAGAACCCACATAAAGTGGAAAGAGAGAACCAACTCCACAACGTTGACCCTTGACCTCTGTATTCATGACATGGCACACCAGCACCAGCACATATCAGGCAAGCACACACACACACACACACCAAATAGAAGTGCAATTTTAAAAGAATCGTATTCCAGAGACCACAGCTATTACTTCTTTAACAGCTCTTAGGGCCAGCAGATCTGCAAGGAAAACGCACTAGCTGCATCACCAAGCATTGTTCACAGACTCAATCTTTTTCTACGATAATTCCACTAATGAATGCCAAGTTTAACTCGTGCTAATTAAAGAGATGGTTATCTGATTGATACTAGCTAAGAGGAACATTAAAAAGAGTAACCAGGGCTGGAGAGATGGCTCAGCAGTTAGGAGCACTTGCTGCTCTTCCAGAGGACCTGGGTTCAGTTCCCAGCATGACGGCTCACAACTATCTGTAACTCCAGTGCAAGGAGATCCAATTCCTGGTCTCAAAGGGCACCAGGCACACACGGTACACAGACATGTATGCAGGCAGAACACTCATACACAAAAAAATGAAATAAAAGAAAAAAATTTAAAGTGATAAGCAGAGGGAAACCTTGTGAATATCTATACTACGCAGTGTCTTTGTCTTTGTGACTGGTTTATCTCTTTCAACTCTAGGTGAGCATCATCACTATCTAAAACTGTGTCTCTTGTCTCGTGTTGTTTCACTTTTATTTTTTGAGACAACATCTCACTGTATATCGGAGGCTGGCTGTGGATGGTGCTGCATCAGCTCCTCAAGTTCTAGAATCACAGGGATGTCCCCCTACATCAGGCATCTTTGGAAGGTTTGCTAAGAGACAACTTCAGTGAAAAAAATCAAAACCATTTTAAGTCTTTACATATAGGCTTAATTCTTTCACACATCATTATAGGAGCTTAATATATAATATACAAACACTGAAACCCCTGTTTCCTGATTCAAAATAGTTCATCATGTATTCGGTGCCTCTCAGTGAACATGGATGAGTTTTAAAGCAAAATATACATATGTATTCCATCAGTATCTTAATTTCATCTCGGAAAATGTCAGACCTGGGTAAAG